ATTAGAGGTCAGAATGCTTTTATTTTTTAGCTTATAGGCCAAGGTAGCACATCTAAACATAGTTGTGCTTATGTGTGTGCATTATTTTTTTTTCCAATGGCCCATTTTTCAGAACTTTTCGCACTCTAATTCTCTTTGGTGTCTGAAAATTCCTTCCAAGAAGGTATGAGCACCAAAGTTGTTTTCCATATTCAACTATAAAAGCAGTAATTGCATTTAATTTCACATAGCTACCGTTCAAAGCGGTATGTGTGTATAGGATGTGTGTATAGCCACCACAGGCTCTCAGCATCTTTGACTGCAGGTTGCTGGACACAAAATAGGATGAAGTTTAATAAAAATAGGAAAAAGTCCCTTTAGTGCTACTTGAAAAGCCAGATTGGACTGTCATGTGTATTGTGGGTGAAGATCTGAGTAGTGAAAGGAGGATCTTTGATGCCAGAACAGTAGGAATTTGTCCTTGTAAATGCGAATGGATCATCCGCTTAAGAAKAAGGTCATGTCTCTGCGGACATCTCTGCAGACAGCTGCGATCAGACCTGGATTATGAGGGGCTTAGCTGCCACATAAAATTATCTGCTGTTTTCTCTGGGACACATTTCCGAATAGTAAGTTGTCTGGCAGACACAATCAATGCATTATTTTTTTTCCCGAAGTTGCCTCTAGCATGATTAACGGCATCTTGATAAGCCTAGTTTGAACTGAAGCCAGCACAAGTCTGTCTTACTGTGACTTGCATCATTGGCTGCTCACTTGGAGGTCATTTTGATCCCATTTCAAATATTTCTTACAGAAATAGTTCTATTTATTCACGTAAAAGCAGGACAGACTTTACTGGTTTAATTCCACAGTCATTTCTAATCTCAGCTATAGCTGTAACTGAACTGCTGTGAGGAAAAAAAATCAACTTTTAAATTTATGTGTTTCTTCATCAGGTTAAAATCCTGATAAATGCAAGCGCTCCTTTTACTAGCTTATGAGCAAAATCACATCAAATGATTTATACTGAAGCGAAGCGGCTTCTATGTCTCACAGAAATAAGTGGGTTTGTATAGGGATGGACTGATCTGCACTTCAGCTCTTCACAAGGAATTTAAATGTGGCCTAGTGTTCGTGAGCGCCAGGTGTGCAGCTTGCATGACGCAGCAAGCTGATACCAAGTATTGGTCATGCTCACATCTTGTTAGACTAATGCCTCTCACTTTAGAGAGGAAAAAAAACATACCTGAAGGAAAGGCAGGGTGTTGGCAGATGGAGGCGAACAGATTGCTAATTCACCCAAAGTTTAGTGACAYAGAGTACCTCAGAAAGCCACGCATGAAGCAAGGGCTTTGAAAAGCACTGTAGCTGCGCCGAGCGAAGCCTAATGCCTGTCATCAGCCTAATAACCATCAGCGTGGTCTGAACAGCGTCGCTCCCAGCTGTGCTCCGGGGCCAACACGGGTTTACGGCGTGTCCGTGAGACAAGTCTCTCTGTTTGGAACTGGGTTAGAAAGAACTTCTTCTGATGCTTTAACAATACCTTATTTTAAAAACTTATTATTGGTACAATATCCTACATGCTCTTTATACACATTTAAAAGAGTCAAACAKGAAAAAACGTTTGAGCAGTTGGATGTGGGCCCAGTTCGAGGTACCGTGTGCCTTGGGCTCGCTGTGCGGCCGGAGGAGCGGGCGTCGTGCGGGAGGCAGCGCTGAGCTGCACCGGGAGCTGCTGCTCAGGGCCCTTCYGCTGCCGACCAGAGGCTGCTCCTTGCAGCAAGCGCGCGTGGCCTTATAGTTCTTCCAGTTGGTTTGAGAGTCAAAACTGAGAGCTTTGGTTACTGAGGTTAGGGCCTTGATAGTGTTTAAAGGAGAAAATGAGAGAACAGCCTGTAGTTGTAGCTTTCTGTGACTATGTTTCTTTTTATCTGCAGATCTAATGAAAACGACTTATAAAAGACCATTTCTGTGTGCAGTTGATAATATGAGAATATTCCTGTAATGAGTGCTGTTTGATAGCAAATATAGCGGGAATTTATACTGCAGTGAAAAGATGAATTTAAACTGCTTTGGGACTACTTGCAACTTGCCCCGTTCCACTTGTTTCCTAATGCTGATTGTAGTCTGAATGGGAAATTATTTCAAAGTCTTATTTTGGATTTGGTTCTGGTTTTGCTGTTTGAATAGTCTATTCTCAAAAGATTTTTTTTTTTTTTTTAATTGACAAGTGGTTACCTGTTCATGTGCTTGTTGAGCGAGAGGCCTCTCTGGGGGATGCCTGAAGGGAGCTCATGCTGGAAGCTTCCATCTCCTGCGCACGTTCCAGAAGCTGCAGTTAGCAGCGCTCATCGGCTGGGGCCGTCTCCCTCGAGTCGCTGCTCCAGTATCTGTGCTCTCTTTTAATCTTTTTAATAGTCTTTTTAAAAGAGCTTTGAAGACTGGGGAACTTAAAAAAATGAACTTAATAGAGCTGAGCATCTGTGAGAGGGCTGAGAGGGAGACTGAAAACAGGCTGAGGGAAAGTTATTACTTCTCTCCCAAATTATTTAAATTTATTTATTCTCACCTTACGTTGAATGCAGACTGATGCTAAAAACTGATTGAAGTGGCTCTGTGGCTGTACAACATCTAAAATACACAACAGTGCATTTTAAAAACACTTTGGGATTCTTTTCTGGTATATTCTTGAGGAGAAAATACATGTACTAGGTAAGTTAAGGCATAAAATACTAACTATTGGTCTTGGGTTGCAGCAGCAGAAGGTGGATTTGCCCTCAGTATGAGCAACATCCTGAAAGAGGGCACAGTCCTGAGCCTCAGCAGTTATCAGGCTGTTGAGTATCAGTCAGCAGGATGAAGAATAACCAAAATACTGAGTCAAGATATTCCCAAATGTTGAAGTTTGGACCAGAGTGTAAACTTCAGGTTTGCCTCTAGCAAGTTGGATAAAGAGCCTTTTATTGCCTGCCAAAGAAATACCCAATATCTCCCTTTGCTGAGCACACACGGGCAGTGCTGCTGTGGGAGCACAGGGTGCGCGTGTGGTAACTTAACTGCCTTAACTCGACACTGTCTTGCGCACAGTCACGTGCTGGTGTTGTTACCACATGACAAACCTGTAGCACCTCTCACTTGCTGTTAGAGTGGTCGAAGTTTTGCATTTCTGCTGCAGCCTTGGAAAGAAACTCGAAGCAGTTGACCTTCCAAGCAGTCTTGTGCCAGAGGTGAGTATTAACCTGACGCGACCGTGTTTTCCTTGTGGTCTGGTGTGCCTGAGGCCAGGCACGACGCAGTAGGTGAATGTGTGCGCGCCACAGAGGGATGTTGCCTTGAGGAGGGTTAGTGCGAGAGAAAGGTGGGCCAAGTGGGAGTTCCTTATTTCCTTTTGCTTCTACTGGAAGAAGAAGCAGTTTTAGCAGTATGAGCGGCCTCTGCCCTGCATGAGAGACCTCCTCACTCACCACCACATGGGCTGCGCTGGTCTGGGAGGTGTAAGGAGCGTTCGCTGTGACTATCGCGTTTGACTTGTCAGAAAACACTGGCTTGTCATGGTTATTAATGCTGTTTTTTCAGCCACGCTGTCATTTTTCTTTTGAACTGCTCTGTTCTCCTTAAAGGGGGGCCGCCATTCTGGAACATTGTCCCACAAGGCCTGAGTGGGCCAGGTTGCACCGAGCTGCGCTGGCCAAAAGGTCAAGCGCTTTGTAGYGGTGTTAGCAGAAGAGCCAAGTCTCCTAGGCCTGGCAGCTGCTGGCACCACAGATCAGAATGGGCTGGCCTTCGTCTGATGTTTTTTGAGGTATTTGGGGGATGGAGTGGGAGTGAGAGGTAATGGGTTAGTAACTAACTCCTTCCTTCAGAAACACTGATGTTTTGGGACTTAATCACTCGGGTGATCTGAGGGATGAGCAACCTCCTGGGATTCACCTTGGGCAACAAGCAGCCCAGAGAAACAAAGTCAATCTCAAGACATTTCTCAAAATGCTAAGGAAAAGATAAGAGAGAAACCCTGCATGTATACACTCATACTTGCATGTATGTTCTCCACTCAATAGTCAGTATGTGGGTTTTGAGTTGAAGAAAGAGTATCATGGATACTTAATGGGTTTTAAATAGTAATTTAATGGATATTTCTCCTGTATGTACCTCTCCCAGAGTTAGGGAATATTGATTTAATTTTTGGAGTGTTTTCTAGAGTGATGCATTTCAGACATCTTGATCAGGTGGTTCCAACATGGARGAATTTACTCTGCTAACCTATGTGTAGTGTTTCCTTGCAAAGACAACTAAAATGCTGTGAAGTTTCATGAACCTGTCCGACTTTTACTTCAGATGCAATGCCTTGTCTTSTTTTGTAGCCCTCAAATGTGTCTTTTGCTTTTTCATTAATACAAATGTAATCAGAGATGCAGAATAGCTTTCCCTGTTGTAAAACATTTTTCTTTTGCCATTTCCTGAGCAAACAGAAGTAAGTAAATTAATAGTACACGCTTCAGAATGTTGACTAAAACTTGGAGATTCTTTTCCAGTTTATAAGCAGCATATTTATAATCATGGGGCCTGAAGAAAGCTTCTGCTCATGCTCATTCCATTATCCGCACTCATGTTTAAGCACTGTTTGCGATTCCATTAGTAAAGAAGCAGCCTGACTGGTGCAGAGTAACTTGCAAGTCTGAAGTTTTATTTCTGTAGGAATTGTAACCCTCTGCCTTCATCTTTGCCACAGTTCCACATGGCAGGGCAAAACCAAAATCTTAAATAGGCRTTTTATTTTAATCTTGCAGCAAGACTTTGGTTCTTTGTTGCAACAGTCCATCATCATCATACTTGATACGTTTATTTACAGTATGGGACTTTTTCCCTCTTTGTTTTACGGGAATCAGAATTGACCTCTGTACATCAAATCTCATTCAAATTTATGGAGAGTTTCAGATATATCCATTAGCACCTGCCTTTCCCTAAAGAGTCCATTTCTAAACAGTTGGTGTTTTGACTTTGTGTTTTTCCTTGTGTCGTAGGTCTTTAAATACTCTGCACCAGTTTTGCTGTCCAGCTCCATTGTACCATACCCAGCTAGCTGTCCCTGCCACACACTCAGAGTACAGGTAAGAGTAGATATGGTCCACCCACTTTCTGTTTTTAAAGGTAGATCTGACGTTATCATTTGACATAAGAAAAAGAATAGTGGACTGAGTTAAAAACTAGTACTAGAAAAACATATCAAACCAATTTTTAAGTTTATGCAGGATAGTTACATGTGCTTCTCTCAAGCACTGTTGATTTAGGCAGTAAAATTAATGTGCTTTAAGAAGCAAATCCCCCTGGACTCTTTGAAAGGTAGGAATGAGCTAACTGTAGGTTTAGTTCTCATATAATCAACATATTAAGGCACATAAATTATGTAAAAATTTAAGTAAGATATTGATGTTGTTTTGAGCAACATTTTATTTTAATACCCTAGATACTTCATAACAGTATATGAGGTAAAGCCACAAGTATAGTTCTTCCAGGGTTAAAGTCATGGACTTGTAAAAGCTGGACTAACAGTCTTTTGGTTTTGAAAGTAGAGAAATTTATTAATAAATGAGGTGCCCTCAGTGCTTAGAATCAGTCCTACATATAAAAAAAAAAAATAGTATCCAGGTAATAGCACTTCCTTTAACGTAGGTGTTTTTACTAAGAATATGTTTTACAAGCTCTCTTCGATCACACGTGGACAGCAGTTTTTGTGCATCTTTATGCATCAGTGCATCATTGTCATTGCCGGAGCACTCATTGTGAGTCTTTTTATAGACGCATCGAAGGACAGGTAACTGATGTAATTGGACATGTGAAAACTTATGGAAGTGCGTAGCATGAACAAGCTAAACTGTCTTTTATTTTTTTGTTTGCTATGAGTGAGTAATTGGGTGAAAATTGCCAGCTCGTGAATGGTGTTAATATTGAACTATTGGAAGTCTGGTGCTGAAAAATCAACTCATTTTGCACAGGTAAAAAGGAAAAGCAAAAACCAAYGTTGAATCCTAAATCTGTAAATGCATAAACATACTTTCCCAGTTCATAATCTTCTAAGCCTCTGTCATCTTTAATCATGTGTATGTTTATTTCTTTTATATTACAACATCCCTTTGTATGCTTTTTTGCCTTTTTTTCTTTATTTCTTCCCTCAGAACTCTACCTTTGTTAGTGAATCCATAGCCTGATTGTAAAGCAGCTTAGCGTTCCTTTGGTGAGGAGCAGGGCCTCACCATTTGCTTTCTAATGAGGCTTTTATTTTCTTTTATCCTTAGTTTATATTGCCTTAATTTTAAGGATTTGTGAAAAGATCTCCCTATGGAGATACTGACGCAGATGGAAAAACTACTTAACATGAAGGAAGGCATGATCATTCCTGGCATGAAGGAAGSCCAGGTCCAATTAGGTAGCAGGAAAATCAACTTTCACCCCAAGAGTCATCAAACAGCTCAGCAGGGTGTCGGGAGAGGAGCTGCTGTCTCCAGTGTGGGCAGCCCCAGAGTTCAGCTGGACACAGCCCTGGTGCAGTTGGCCTTGCTTCTCACAGGGAGCTAACTGGAGAATTCCTGAAGTCCCTGCTGACATAGATCACTCTGTGATTTGCAAGGCTCAGTTCTTAGGAATGGTAAAACAATAGCTGGTTTTGTTTTTTCTTCCTTTTTTCTTCTTTGGTAAAACATAGTTTCAAGTTATATAGTGATGTTAGTAATATCCCAGATAATATCCTGTGCATGAACACAATGATATGTTAGAGCTGAACTGCTACAGTCGTCCTCATGTCAAGCTTACCCATGAGTTAAATGTCTGAAGCAAACTGATTCTTACAGTTTGACAACACTGTGTCAGTCGTCTTCAATCAAGTACAGATTCTGTGCTAGTTTTGCAGAATGGCCTGTATTTGGGAATGCTATTGCTSTGAATGAAAGTTAACTGCTAGAGGACTAACAAGATTGAGCTTTCACATTGCCACGTACATTTAATGACATTAAATTTATCTTTTAGTCCTCACGTGTTAGCTTGTAAATAGAAATCATTAGAAACAAGGCAAACAGGAATGGAGCATCCATTCTAACTTCAGATTCAAAGCTTTCTTTAGAAAATACACAGAGGAATTAATTTTGTAGACTAGAATTAAAAATTAAATTTGCTCCGAAAGGAGCAGTTAATGAATGCACTACAGTGAAATCTGGAGCATCTCTGATTTGCTGTTAGCTAATTGCTGGATGTTTTATTCACTCCAGCAGTTTTACTTCCAGTYAAGATGCTCTTTGGCATCTGTTTTGAATTGTTAATAAGGAAATAATGCATTTTTAATAACTGTAGCTATTGCTTTAATCCCTTGCTTGTTCATGTTACGCTGTTCAAAATAGACAGAAATAATACGAGCTATCTTGTATTCTCCTCCTATAAGAGATCTCTCTTATCCTAAGGATGCACATGTAATGTACTTCATCTAGGTATTTGTCCATGTGTGTTCCGGTTAGCCCATAAATCTCCTATGTTTTCTGGTTTGGATTTTTCTTTCCTTGGAAATTAAAAATTCGTGTAAAAATACATGTAATAAGCTGCAGTTCATCTGCAACACCTGTAGACTTCTGTAACTCCCTTTTTTTCCCTGCCCCTCAGAGTAGGGTGTTTTTAAAAAGATGCATTCTGGAGCTGAAGCTGTCCATTGCAAAGAATCCTCTGATAATCTGAATGCAGGTTTTGTCTAGTAGGAAAGACAAAGCAAAGGAAGTAATTGGTGTGTACCAGAAAGGCTTCAAAAAGAACTTGCATCAAGGTCATCTTAATTGCACTGCAGTTGCTAAGCCACTTGCTTGCTATGGCCTRCGGTATCTTCATGGTTTTATAGCTAGGTCATTTGCAAAGCAAAGCCCAGACCTACAATGGCCATCAGAAAATAAATAAATAAATTTCATCATGTTTATTTCTTATTTTAAGAACAGCATTTTGTCAATCACTTTAGTTAGTGTTTTAGGCTATATAGGTGGTAGATACCTTATTCTAATAATGGGCACCTACTCCTGTGCACGTTACRGTTGTCAGCTTAGAGTCCCTCGCTGTGACTTTCAAGCTCCTCAGCAGTTTATACCCCTCTGAACCACAGGGAGGCATGCCGAGGAGGCTCCCTTGGGTACCTGAATAGGGGTTTTTTACGTCCTGTAGCCGGAATACTGCAGCCGCTGGCAGCTCTTCAGGCTCCTGCGAGCAAGAGAGTTAGGCAGCAGTGCCGGCCRCCCGGCAGGCAGGTGTGAAAGGAGGGGTGCTCGGGCCTGAGAATATCGAGGCCATGCTGTGAGTATTGAATAGGCAGGTGGACACAGCTACAACTGCACATGGATTTACTTACTACTAATATCTGAGGATTTCCTGATTTTTTGTGTTTATTCATAACTGATTTCCTGTTCTGTTTTGCATGAAATGTCAGCTCTCCATCATTCACTTTTATATCCACTTCATCTTCCATCTTTCTGCTTTTTGGCCAGATGCCCTTGTGTCTAAAGGCCACTTTCAAAATCCTGAAGCTAGACATTTTTTCCTGCTCTTTTTCTTTTTTTTTTTTTTTTTT